ACTCCTTTTGGACTTATCCGTTATAAGTGAACCAGTCACATTCAAAAGAGTCCCAACCAAATGGAAGTATCTAGATTCTAGGGATACACTCAGATGTCTCTTCAAAGCTGAATTTCAGTTTGATTAAACTTCTAAGAGTCTGAAAAGCTGTAGTTACCCCATCAATTATTCCCTGTATATTGATCAACTGTAGTGTATTCCTTACCTCATCTCTCTCAAGACGTCAAAAAACTCTCATTCTTCTTTCATCTTCCAAACACAATCTAATTCTCTTCTCTTCCATACCCTAGCCCAGATATGTCGAACACTTCTGAAAATCCTTCATCACCACCACGGGAAACCACTTCCACACCTTCTACAACACAAATCTCTAAGAAAAGTAGAGTAAAGATGATGGCTCATAAGATTGTCGCTGAAGGAGAGCAGATCAAGAAAATAAACTAGCAATTGAAAGCAGGTAGGGAAGAAGAATTCCAAAAATCTGAAGATTCATTTAAGTGTGCTACTAAGGGGGATGAAAGTAGGTATTCCGAAACTGAACAGGTATCTTCTCATTCTAAAGTTACTCCTGAGACAATTTTTGATGTTGCTGCAAATTTGGAGAATAGATTTATGCTGGTAGGATATATAGCAGGTGTTGAGACTAAAGAATCTGGAGAAGTTGGTGGTAAAAATAAAAAGGGAAAAGAAAAAGAGAGCAAGGGTGCTAGGAGTGCTGTGAGGGGAAAGGGTAAAAGAGTGGTTGATTCTTCACCCACTCCTGTTGGTCGAACAAAAGAAATTGGTGCAATGGTTGTTTGGGGAGAGGAATTTACTGAAATAGAAGAGAGTGTGAGCAAAACAGGGGAAGTGGGAAGCTGCTGGGGGGTAGGTTCAACTTGAAAATTATAGATGAACCTGTTCCATCTGAACAGGAAACCCTCTTGGACCTACTGATAGGATTATCAATGGCACCAAAACTCATGCCATTCCCTATGGTTTCATTCTCACAACTGTGCTTGCACATTTCAAGGTACCTATGAAGAAGTGGGGTTAATACTCTGCTTGCTTGCGATTATGAAGTCAATGTCATTCTTATTGAACCTGGTTCATCTAAAAAGACACTATCAATAGCAAAGTCAGAGTCTTATTACAGGAGAGTGAGGCAAAGGATATTGAGATAGCAAGGCTGAAGACACGATTGGTTGAGGTAGAATCTGAGAGAGATGTTCTCAGAACTGAACTTGCAAGGGAAAAGGAGAAGAATGATGGAATTCTTCAAGACATGCTGAAATTTCTCCAAGAAAATAACCCAACCCCTACCTCTTCCAAGCCTTAAATCCTAACCTAGTGTAGATCAACCAGTGACCCAATTCGGGACGTTTTGTTTCTTTTGCTCATGTTTTCAGTATTTTTATTTCTTCTTATGCTTTGTGGTAGAATCTTATCAATCATTGATGAAATTCACTGCCTTTTGCTCTAACTGTTTGTTTATATTTCTTTGATGGTTAAAATTCTTAGCTTGATCTATGATGATTAATCCATGATTGCATTTGAAGTAGCCCCAGTGGCCATGAGTAAGTTTTAAAATCTGGTTATCTCACATTTTTTATGCAACTTTTCGATGATGCCAAAAGGGGGAAAAAAAGGTTGTGCTTTAAACAAGTGATGTTTACACTTTGAACAGTGATGTTTATAACCTAATGTACCTGGTCCTTGATGATAAGTGATATAAAGGAAAAATGTTTCTAACATTGTGTTGATGTTGAGCTGAGTTCTGGCAGGGCCTAAGTGTATGAAAAGCACAGTGTTTGTCATCATCAAAAAGGGGGAATTTGTTGGCCCAAGTAAAGGTTAGTTTTGAAGACTGACAAAGGAACTCAGACATGAACCAGGTCCATCCAGTGGTCCATCCCTCAGGTTCACAAAAACGGGCAGATTCAAGCATGTGGGTTGCACGTGAAGGAGATAAGCTTAACTTGGTGTATTTAATATCTCCTGATCGAAAAGGTTGCATAATTGATAAGGAGAATGAGTCTTTAATCAAAGAGAACACTATCCAAGATAGGGAAGGAGTTAGAAGTTGAAATCAACTAGAACTCTTCCACCAAGGAAGAGTTGCATCAGAACTCTAGTTATTTCTTCATCTACTAACTCTATAAATTGCAGGATGTTCTCACATTAAAATTTGTTGCACAAAAAACGCAGAAGTTAAACGTGAATTGAGAGCAAAATAGCAAGGCCTTTTGCAAGCAGTTCGTATGTGATTCAAGTGTGCAAACCTGAAGCTACATGAACCAGATTGAAGAACCAGCTCCATAAAGAGTTTTATGTGTCTTTCTTTATTTCTAGTTCAATTGTAGTAGGCATTTTTATATTGTACCTTTCAGCTTTATCTAGAAGCAATTGTAATAGGTATATTGAGTATTCAAGTTAGAGTTAACTTGAAAGTGTCGCAGCAGTTGAGGCTGTGTGCCACACTGGGATTAGAGTTTAATCCTTAGGTTTACAAGAGTTTGTATATGCTGTTTTTGGCTCAATGATTTTAGTGGAAGTTTGGGAAAATCTTACTGAGTAGTAGGTCGTGGTTTTTTCACCTTTTGAGCTAGGTGTTTTCCACGTAAAATCTCTGTGTTCATTATTTTATGTACTTTTAATTTCGCAAACAGTAGTAGTAAGTACACCTAGAAGAACCAGGTCCTTCCAGAAGCAGTTTAAGCGAAAAATTGAGTACCACACAAATCACCCCCCCCCCCCCTTATGTGGTATTGACGTTTAGAACATCAATTCTCTCCTTTTGAAACCTGATCACGAACTCTCGCAGCAACCCTGAGTCTCCTTGAGTGATTATGAAAATATCTAATTTCCTAGCTTGAACTTTCCTCGCTCCATCGTGCACTTTGACTAAAAAAAATATGCAAGCATTTCAAAAGAACCAATTGAGTGTTCGGGCAAAAGTGAATACCATATTAAAGCCTCTTTCTTTAGGGTTTCGCCAAATTTCTTAGCAAGACTGATTCGATCTCATGTGGAGCCAAATCGTTTCCCATTACAACTGTGGTATGAGTTGTAATGTGTTCCTGTGGATTTAATATTCCATTGTATTTTGGAATATCCGGCATCTTAAATCTCTTTGGGATCAGTTCCGGAGCCGCACTAGGTTTAAATGGCAATTTAATATAATTCTTCGAGTCCTGGCCTTTCAGGACCGGAGGTGCCCTTAGGATCTGATCCATCCGAGCGTAAAATTCACTAGCATTCTGATCCATTTGAGAATTATTTTCCTTATGAACCTCATGAGCTCGGTCTTGAAAGGATTGTCTGTGTTGTTTTCATTTCCAGATCTATTACCTGCACCACCTGCTTGATTGTTATTTGATCTAAATTCCCCTCTGGTAACAATATTACTGGTTCTTGGTGTCGTTTGATTCATAGGCACGCCAAGAGGGGCTCAAACTCCACCATTTGAATTGTTTGAAGCCACCGACAATGCTTGTTGAAGCTAATTCATTATCCGGTCCTGTCTTGAGAGATGGGTAATAATTTATTTTTGTTGTGCTCTCAAAAATTTTACGATATCGGCCATGGGCTCGTCATCCAAATTATCAGAGTTGGACTCCTCATACGTCGAGTGTTTCTTTCCACCCGACTCGGAGTTGATTCATTCCCACTAATATGGGTTTCACTTGTTGAATCATCCTATTGAGTACCCTCGTGCAAATTGTCCACATGTTCGTTGTTATTGTTAACACCAACGTTGAGCAAGTTGCTGACGTTATTCTGTGCCATAACTGGAGTATGCTTAAACAGAAAAACCTTTAAAGCACGTTAGTATAAGATGAACAGATCAAAATAACACCACAATTGTCTATGCCCCACGGTGGGTACCAAATTCTTTACCCTAAAAAAAGGTACAGTTAAATTTATAAACGTAATTTATAGACACGTGGATTAGATTGACCGGATTTAGTAAAGCAACAAAGTATAAAGGAAATAAAATATAATTAAAGAAAGAACAAGCCTGGACTTCAGATTGATCCCACAAGAACCAAGATTAATTGAAAAATCTCGATAACACTCGTATAACGCTTAAAAGAATGAGAGAAAGAATATTAGTCTTTGTAATTCAGGTATTTCGTCTTCTTCAATGACTACAAAGTTGCTATTTATATTTAAATGTGAGGAGACAAGATCCTTAAATCATGCTCTTCTTAAAGATAAATAAAATACCCTCTTGATGGTTGCATAATATTCGAAAATAAATGATATAATTTTCTGTAAAGGCTGCTCTTTTAATGATGTTCTCTTCAACCGGTGTCTTACTTTCTTCCCCGGCCTTTATGTCTTCGGAATTTGCACAATACCGATTATATACCTGTATCCGATACCAATTATCTGCCGATTCGTCTTCATCCTTTCATCACTTCCACGTGTCTGCTTGAAAAACATACACATATAAACTGTAACTTTTACCTAATACAATTACAGATAATGAATATAGAATTTGATTTCCATTCAAATAATGAATGAATGAATGAATGGTTTCCTTTACTAACTAGACTCTGAGACTCTCATCTTGACTTGAACTTTACAGTGTTTGAATTGCGTAGGTTTAAAGGCATTAATGGTTTAGATATAAATTAATTATTGAACAGAATAAAAGTTGATCAAAGAAATGTTGAATGAATTGATCGTAAATTATGAGATTTAAAAGAAGAATGTTTCGAGAATATTTTAATCGTTTAATATTTATCATAAATTATTAGTACTTTTATAATAAAATAAATATAGATAAAAACTTTAAAGATCGCGCATTAACTAGTATAAACATAAGTTGCAAATCAAAAAGTTAATCGTACACTAATGATGAAAACAAAACTATAATAACATGCTAAATTGTATATGTTCCACAAAAGAACATTGCAAATATCTATTGTGCTTATCCTTATCTTTAACAATCAACATACTAACCCAAAAAAAAAGGAACTAGTAATAATTATATACTGATAAACTAAAGAGAAAAGAACAAAAAGTAGATGGATAATGACAACCACCAACATCCTCTCTTTTACGTCTCTCATCCATAATCCCATATGTATAGCAGAGATCTGTGGGCAATATTAGTCTATAGTTTCTTTCTCCGCCCTAATTAGCAGCCAAAAATGCCTTCCACAACTCAGAACCCATATCTCCATACCCTTTTGGAATCAGCCCGTCCTTTCCTCCGTGGAGAGCTCGAATCTATCGACAGAGATCTTCCTTCCCTTGTCGCCGTCTTGCGTTCTGTGGGCGCCGGCGAGTGCTGGCACAAACATGGCAGCTTTCTCGATCACCTCATCGATATCTATAAGATTCTCAAACTCTGGAAAGCCCCTAACTCTGTTTGCCTTTGTGGCCTTTTCCACTCTGCTTACTCCAATTCCTATGTCAATCTCGCCATCTTCGATCCCTCCACAGGCCGTGACACTGTGCGTGCCCATGTTGGTGAAGCTGCTGAGAGGTTGATCTATCTTTTCTGCGTCGTCCCTCGTCAGCCCTTAATTCATGATGACCTCTTGTTTCACTACACTGATTCCCAACTTATCGAACACCTAAAGCATTCCGAGGTTTCTCTTAAGAATGCCAAGGAAAAGCATCTTTTCAACGGAGACGAACCATGGAGGAAGAAGTTGCAGTCTATTTTGCCAGCGGATGGCATAACAGTGAAGCACATAAAGACAGGGGAAGATGTGTTGGTTTCCAGGAGATTGGTAGCTGTGTTTCTTCTCATGACAATGGCTGATTTTAGTGATCAATTGTTTAATTTTCAGGATATCTTGTTTGATAACTCCAATGGTCGGTTGGAATTCTCTGGGAACAATTCCCAAATAAGTTTGTGGCCAGGGGATGGAAAGCCAGGGCTATGGATGAATTCCATATCAAGAATGGGAGCTCTTTACAGTCTGATAGTCAGAGAAGAAGACATGTTCACTGAGCAAAATGGCCATGTACAAGGCAGAGATGAAGAAATTGAGCTTGTGATTCCACCAGTCTTTGACAACTGCACGAGGGTTTTGGATGCAGAGTTGCAAAAAGAGGCAAGGGAATTGTATTGGGAAGGTGTTTGTGAAGCTTCCAAGAGAAGTTTGGATTGGGCTGAGGAGAGGTTGTTGACAAGTGTTGAGAAGAACCCTTTTGTGGGAGAGCCTCATGTGGTTTTGGGGCAGATCTATTTGAGCAAAGCCAAATTTGAAGAGGCAGAGAAAGAGGCTGAAAAAGGGCTAAGACTTATATTGGAGTGGGGGAGTCCATGGGACAAGAGGATGTCTTGGGAAGGTTGGGTTGCTTGGACTAGAGTTCTGTTGATGAAGGCTAAGGAGAAGTCTTGGCCACAACATTCATGGGGCATTCTTAATTTGGGTCTAGTTACTAAATGATTTTAGTTAAGGTATTAATCTCTGTTTCTGTTGGCTGGCATTTCTTAATTGCTGCTGAAATAATTGGTTTGTTTAGATTTTACTCGCTGGTGATCAAATTTTATTTCTCTTAGATGACTATAAATAAAACAATTAGAATTACCTTAACTAGTACGTTCATCTTGACAAGCATTTTCCCAGAATTCCAATCTAGTGAAACTCAGTTCTTGGCTCTTACACAACCTACTTGTTGTACTACCTTTCGCCAACCAAAAAAGAAAAAACCAAAAATAAGAATTACAACTCAACCTTTTCTCTTCCTCTTCGTTTCTCCTATGGAAAATGAACAATGAAAGATAGCCATTCCTCAGATAAGTGATAAGCTCATGTGGTTATTTTCGGTGTGTTTGGTATGAATGAACACATTTTCTGAAAAATATTTTCCAATAAGTACTTTGAAAAATATTTTTCTCATAAAATCATTTTCCTTCAATTGGAGAAAATGATTTCCCTATCAAAAAGAGGCAAAATATTTTTCAATAAGTATTTTGAAAAATATTTTTCTCATAAAATCATTTTCCTTCAATTGGAGTAAAATGATTTCCAGAAAAATATTTTCCAAAACTCTTTCTCAACCTTCGCCATCCCCTACTCCACCCCCCCCCCCCCGAACCCCAAACCATTGCTACTGCCACTTCGGCTCCTAGACCCCGACCTACCATCCTCCCCACACCTTACTCATTTCGTCTCATAGTATTTTTTTAAAATTTTTTTATGACCTAATCAAACACCCGGAAAATAAGTTAAAAACTACTTAATTTTCAAGAAAAACATTTTCCTCTAGTGTTCTTTCTCTGCATTACAGATGTAGAGGAAGAATTAGATGTTACAGTTACATGATAAGCTAGTTGAAGACCATGGAATTAATTTCACATAAATATTTCCTGCAAAACCATATTCCTTAGTTGGAGGTTTTTGTTAGCGACATGAATGGCACTCTCGAAAGCACCCTATACATTATCATATCCTATTAGATTGCAGTTGCCAATTTTATTTACTTGGGTCTTTAGACTGCCCGTGGGAGGGAATTAGGTTCATTCATTAAATTAAAATCCAACTCAACCATGACCCTAATTGCTAAACTAGGGCAGGAGTGTCTAAACTATTTATGGTGTACAATTTAAATTTACAACTTCACTTGTAACAATTTTTACTGCTACTTCATAATTTTTCCCCGCTTTTCGCCCCTGCACCGCTCTAAATTTCAAACAACAAATTGTCATAAAAAGCATTCTGACACTGCAATGAAACAAAGTTTTGTTATGCTCATCTGTTGTTAAAAATAAAATAAGAAAACCTATCTGAGGACGTTTTTCTCTGTGAACAAGAATTAATATGCTAAAAAAAAATAAAAAAATTAAGCACATATAAATGTCTCAAAGTGGACAAAAGGCAATGGTAATTGGTAAATACTCAAGAGAGTCTAGTCGAATAATCTATCTTTTGCAAAACTGAGGTAACCTCATTTACTATTCTAATCGTTGTCTTTATCTTCCACTTTCTCATTTACCAGAGGAACAAACTCTGACTTGTTCTTTGGAGGAATCTCTTGAGGCTGCTGTGAGAGAATGTGCCTCACATAACCATAGAATGTACATCCAACAAGTGTTACTCCACAGCCTAAGGCATTCATAGCTGAGATTGGGTTCCGGAATATCAGCCATGAACAAGTAACTGCCACAGCGACCTGTGAAAGTGGATTATCGCCACAAGAATTTCATATCGTCTCGATGCCAAAAGAAAGACTAAGAAGCAAGAATTTTGTATACTATTTGATTTCAACATGGAACTTGATTTGACACCTGAATATTAAAAGAGCGGTAACCACCTTAAGGTTTCCGGCAACATTGAAAGTGACAGCAGTTGTGGAGTGGATGACATAAAAAATAGAGAAGTTAAGGCAGAAAGCCAGCACTCCAGAGCCGAAAATAATAAACATGGATGGAACCACTGACGGGAAAGTGTATAACCATTCAACAACTCCAGCTCCTTCAAAGAGTAAAGCTGGCAGAGCCAATATCATAGTCGCAAAGGGAGCCATGTAGAAAACTGTGTTTATACTGAAGAACAACAACAAACCAACATTACTCTATGGCATTTTCTATTTCTTCTCGACAAACAGTGAGCTAAATAATTCATGTTATATATGTTTTCTATAATAATAAAATAAAGTAATAAAACACGAGGAAAGCATGAGAATTTTTACAAACCAACAACTGAAAGAGTACCAGTGCATATTAAAAATGCTTGCTAACAATCAGATTGAAGCTATAGGTTTTCAGATGTTAGTTTAATAGTTCAGGGGCGTAGCCGCAATACTAGTTGCGGGTTCGGCAGAACCCTGTAGCTTTTGTTCAAATCCTATATTTGTATTATGAAATCCAATGGATATGTACAAACTATTAATTTAGAACCCAGTCACTTAAAAAGATTATAATCCCGAACCCATACTGTTCAAATCCTAGCTTCGCCTTTGAGTTCAGCATCTCCTTGTCCATAACATATATAAGAAACATAGAGCAAGGCGGATGCAGTATTATCCAAGATGGTTCCTTCTTTTTTTCAAATAGTTCATGAACCATAATTCAATTATGAGAAAAATAAGAATAAGAAATAAGAAAGAATAGCATCAAAGATTTGTTGTTTAGAAAAGAAAACAAAAATAGAGCGACGGAGCCATTTGGTTTACGGTCTAGTTATGCGAGGATCATAATATGTAGGGATTGTTTATGCAGTGAACATTAAGGTATAAATTTTTATGCAGTGAATAACAAAACAAAGATTGTTATCAAGTGAATAATAATACATGTTGTTAAGTAGGAATAAGCTAATTTAAGGACATTTTCGTCTTCATATGCATTTATCCACGTAGCGGTAATACATACCGCATAGGTATTAGTAACGCAGAGCTAAAATTGGGAGAAAAAAAGACTAGAGCAGTTAACCCAGTTATACAGGAAACCAAACATCGTAATAGGTATACGGAGAATCCATTGGTAATGCAGAGTACTATGTTGCAAACTAAGAGTTGTATTAGTTATGCAGAACTTTATGTTAGATATTATTTTCCCTTATGTTAGACCTTGATTGGTATGTGTTACACCTGACGACAAAGGTAAGTTTCTGAGCCAATCAATTTAGCAGGGGATTAGTCATTTCCGGACAAGATTTTTTGACCAAAATTATTCCAATTATCACCTGTTTTACTAGTAACGTTTGACTGGGTACAAGAACAGTGGTAAAAGTTCTGTTACATCTCAAGCAATTCCTTTTAATTGACATGGTAGAGGATTACATATATTATCTAAAAGGAGGGGCAGAAAGAGGTAGGTACATAGTACCTGTCAAATTTGTAGCCATGCAGCAAAGACTCCGCTAGAATAGTTTTTGTAGAAGTAGCAAGACAGCCAAATAACGCAGCACAGAACCCAAACATGTTGAAACTGAGCTCAGTAACAGAAGTTAGCAGAATTCCTCCAACAATGGGAATCAAAGAAGTCCAGATCCTCCAGTCAAAGTTCTTTCTCCAAACTAGCCACTGCAGAATCACTGTTCAAACGCAGTTATCCGAAGCAAAATAGGTTAAGGAGTGGTTAAGAAGAGGCCTCGGGAAGGGCTTTGAGGTTCAAGCTTTACCTGTTGTTGCAGGAGTAAATGACTTTATGGTCTGCATGAAAGAGACAGGAATGTATCGCAGACTTACATTCCCCAAGACTATGTTGACACAGAACACAAATGACATGGGAAAAATTCTTCTCCACCGATCTGCGGGTTCAACCACGATGAGTTGCTTAAGTTTGAGCACTTTAATTGCCAGGTATGCACCAATAGCTGAGCATATGAAGTGTACGCAAGATACTGTCAATGGAAATTTAAAATCCAGTTTCTGCAAAGACGGGTAGAGTATACAATTATAAGAAGAGATATTGCAAGAAAACATTACATGTGTACAACATGCTCATACCCTCTTTCCAGAATATCAACCTTGCAGTTATTATTCAAAACGGACGTTAAGTTTCTTTGCCCCATATAAAGTAGTTCTTAGTTTCCCCGGGAAAAAAAAAAGAGAAGAGAAAAGTAGAAATCACACATACTAAAATATATCAACCTAAAATGCTGAAAAATTCCACCAAGAAGGCACGTCCTCATTTGCAGACAATAAACTCAAGTATTACTCATTTTAAGCGTAACAACCAGAATTCTGATTGGTGTGTACCAACTAATGCTATCAACCTTAGAACTGGGTTTGGGGTATGGGCACAGGCAATAGTGGGAGAGTGACAGTGGTGTGCAAAATAAGGTCTGTTATCATTTACAAGGCACTGTGATTTAGATCAGAGAGGAAGCCAGACGAGAGCGAATGTTCCAGTGTTTGCTGTCAGATACAATGAGAGAGAGAGAGAGAGTGTGTGTGTGTGTGTGTGTTGACTTAAGACTTAAGACATGGACAGTAATGAAAGCGAGAATAGCGCCTGGCAGAGGCCTTTGGATGGTTAGTCAAACTGGATTAATTATGTAACAACAAGAAACATGTGTCTCTTGATATTTGTGACTTGTGAGGCTCAGTTTGAGCCTTAGCAAGGAACACTGGGCAATATTTCTTCTCCTATATCTTTTCTTTTTCTGCTTCCATATCATAACAACGATAGAGCAATAATCAAAACATAAAGTCGCAAGATTCTTCAAAGAAAAATGGAAATGAAAAACACTTGCATCACCAAACTCCAAAGAATCCATCTATTACCACATTTAAGAAAAACCATCATATCTAACACATACACACATGAGAAATGCAGTTTGTGCACATGCACCAGCAATAGGCAAAAAGCTTCTGGATCTAACCATCATCTAAGCAATGTAATTGTCATCTAAATAAAAGAAGAAAGAGAATAACAGCAGCCATATAGTTTTGAACCATGCGCCACTGGCCCTTAGGATTTCTCGGCTATCAAAAAAAATGACGGCATGCATATAAGAGGCAATCAATGTAAAAGCCTAACATGAGAAGATAATGTTAACAGCTTATTCTACATCATGAGAAAGGTGCTTGCAGAAATATTAGAGGTCCCGTTACACTAAATATTAGTGGTTGAATGACGAAGGCATGGAAATTTTAATTAGATGGGTAAACTTGGGAAGGGAATCATAATACTACTTTTTCTCGTATGTGGAGAACTTGAGTGTGCTAAAATCAGAAGCTACTCAATCTCAATCCTTGAATCAGCAAGTCAGTTTTACAGTCATTGACGTAGATTACCCTGAGTTACTCAATATGACTCCTGACTGAATCATGTTTATATCCATAATGTAATGTGATATCTGGACCATTCCAAGCACATGAGAAGTTGCAAGCTCTTGATATTATGAACATTAGTAAACTGTGGATCAACTGATGAAAAATTTCACCAACAAAAGAAAAAGGTGCCTAACTGGGAGAGAAGCAATCTTCCCCGATCAAGATCAAGAGAACACATGGAAAAATGGGTAAATATAACTAGGTAGCTGTACCTGTCTAAAGTTTTCCCAGTTTGCCACCTCCATCCAAGAGGGGCAGGGTGTGAAGCCATACGTCACCCAGAAAATAAAAAGACACACAGGATGTCAAGAGACCTGTTCAGGTCAAACTACAATATACTAAAATGACTGATCCAAGAAAGATTCTAAACCTGTCTTTTGGGCAAATATGAGTAAAAAATATGAGAAATTGGATATGACTCAGCAAGCTAGTTGCTAGATGTGTAGGCGACATTAAACTGTTTATCAACTGTTATTGTTCCTCATTACAATTCAGTTGAGGTTTACTTGGTAGTCTCAGGAATAACAAGGGCAATTCTATGAGTAAAAAGTGTAAATTTCTGAAGTTTACAACGGTAAGTGTTTCTCCTGAACTTCATAAAACATATGAGCACCTATTGGAGACTAGTATAACTGCATAGCTTCCTTAATTTTCCATACAACAAGGAAATGCCAAGTAGAGAATAATTATGTACTAGACATTTTCCTTTCAGTTGTAGTACACAGAAGCAAGTAAGACATAGTTTTTCTCCTAGCTTTTCCTAGTAGTGTAAATTCGGAACTGTTCAACTCTCACAGTAAGGACTTTTCTTTTTAGTAAGGTAGACTTATTCCGAGACAGATAAAAGGAAAGGTGGAATACCTGGGAAAGTCGACTCAATTAGGAACATCTAAACCATTTGGATATTACTTTCACACTGACCTTCTCAACCCAAGATTTATTTATCTGGAAAGGCCATTTGCAACATTTTCGGGTTCCTTGTGTACAAACTCTTGGTTATTACCTGAATGCGTTAGAATTATCCAAATATTGGGTTATTATCTGCACATCCTACTTCGTTAAATTTGAAATTTTGCATTTGTTTGTTAATTCTCTTCCAGAAGTATTAAGTTGGAGCATTTTAATACTCCAAAACTGCTTTTTAATTATGTTAATCTACATTCTCTTAGTTTGAAGCTCACTTGTCTCTCAGTTTCCGGGTTTATATGCGAACAACTGAATTATCATTGTTCAGAGGTTATACTCACATTTGTGGACATTAGGGGAGATTGGCACATTGTCCATGCCTCACATAAAATCCATTAACCGGCAGATGTTTTAATACTACAACATGTTACTGGAAGGATTCGAACTTCAAGGAAGGGAATGACTAAACTCAAATCACTCAACAACAACAACTAGTACGCCTCAGTCCCAAGCAAAGTTGACTTCAAAATCTAACTGATTATCAATGACTTTGCAACTTTTACTAATTAAAGGAAGAATGGAAGGAAAAATATGCCCGACGGAATTTTTAACATACCCTATAGTTCATCGATATGCAAGAAATCAGCCATATATACAACAACAGCAACAGCAACAACAACAACAACAACATACCCAGTATTATCCTACACCGTGGGATCTGGGGAGGGTAGTGTGTAAGCAGACCTTATGCCTACCTTGTGAGAATAGAGAGGTTGTTTCCAATAGACCCTCCGCTCAATAAAGCATAAGCACCACATTAATGAAAATATAGAGAAGAAGGGACAGTACCAAAAAGCCATATAAAAGGAGAATAAAAACAACAAGACAGTAATGTGATCAACAATGAATATATACAGACGCACACACACATTTCTCAACTATTTTAAAACTATGTAATGTAGCATAATTTAAGGCTGATGAGATCGCAGATAAAACCAATTCTAAAATAAATCAAAGTTTCAAGAATATTTCAGATACACTACCACAATGGCATAAGAAAGAAAGAAAGAAAAAACAGACCTGAAAGATCCATTTGTTCATGATAATAACAGCTACATTAAAGCACCACCATTGAACAATAGCAAAAATGGATCGAATCACAGTCCACTGGCATAACACACTTTCCTCCATTTCTCTAGCCCCCTATCTTAAAAATGAGCTAAATTGGAAACGGGTCAGAAGCCAATGAGTCAGTCATCTATAGAGAAATATAGAGGAAAACAGGAGAAAAATATGATAAGACTAAAGGAGGATTAATGCAACCGTAAAGAGTATAAGTAATTAATACAGAATAATGTCTTGTCTTTTGTTTTTAAGGAAATGGAACATCTCTCCAATAGTATTTTAGTACGCCATATAAGGACTTGACACGTTTCCTGGATTTCGTAAGCCTAGAATATTCATTGGACAATTGTACTTGAGAGCATTAGGGGAGTCCGAAACCAAAATGTTGCTATTTTGGACTCAAAACACATAAATAGGTGTAAAAAACAAAAGGTAATAAAAATATATATAGCGCCAGAAATAGTGGCGCTATATATAAACGGTAACAGCACCGTTAATATATAACGCCATTATTTCTGGCGCTATACACTGTCAGTGATATAACGCCATTATTTCTGGCGTTATACACTGACAGTGATATAGCGCCAGAAAGAGTGGCGTTATATCCTTTTTTTTCCTGCCCAGTGTCACACCTCCTTTTTACTTACTACACCCGCAAGGGTATA